GAGGAATTGTTTTAATCAACAATAGGTCAAGGATGTGTGCGTACATTAAATTGGTGCTCGCAAAAAGTGGCGGGGTTTAACTTTTCGCACATCAGTGGCGGGGCTTATCTGGAAAAGATCCATTTGGTGTACAAGCTTGTATTTGCCCTGTCCCTTTTCTCAGTACACCGAGAATACGAGGTTGTCCAAAACTGTGTGATACCGGTAAGGTACACGTTCCACTAGTCGGCTTAAATCTCCGAAAATGAGGCAAGAGTATATGTTGATGGGTTTTTGTTCACCAAATGTCGTTAACAAGTCGAATTAGTCTATATCTGTTCACCTGTACGCTCAACCGAATGCGATATACGCTAACTTTATGGTGCGTGGGATTGAACAGAACAATACAAGACGAACAAACATCATGCAGAACAGACGTAATCCACTACCCATAAGGTTGCTGAAAGTTCTTCGACAGCCCACGATCGATTTCTCCCAGTTTGGGGCTCATCAGGTAGGCGCAGCCCCCGAGTTTCTGTCAACCTTATGTTCTACTTGAACCCAAACTGCACGAAATTGGCGAAACAAATTTGGTTTTGCGGGAGACTCATCTGGAACCCAGCTGAAGCTCTCTTTTATGATGTTTCTAAACCACTGAATGTGCTGCACCAGGCCCTCTCAAGTTTCACTTGGTGCAATATTCAAGATTTCTTTTTCAGCGACCTTATCAGTAGTAACGCGTAATCTCGAATATCGTACCAACTAAGACGTGAGGCGGCCTGGTGCAGCAAATTCAGTTGTCTGGAAACATCACGAACGAGAGGTTCAGCTGGGTTCCGGGTTAATCTCTCGCAAAATCATATTTGTTTGCAAATTAGTCCAGTTCGTTAATCATGTAGAATACTGGCAATTCCAGTTAAGTGGGTTGCCGTTTCAAAAGGGGGACGAGATGGCTCGAGCGCTAATTTACTGACCGGAAGGTCCGTGGTTCGAACTCGAACTCTGCCACTCGACTTCCCCGTCTCAGCTTGGGGGACGTGGCATTATCCCAGCCCTCGTGTTCCCTTCAGGTAGCATGGCCGTTAGGCACCGAAAGGGTGCTACAGCTGAACGATTTTTTTCCACCGGGGCTGTCTGAACAAAATTCAAGCTTCGTAGACAAATTCACCACTATCGAACAGCTGGATACAATAAACGTTAAAAACGAATCCAAATGCTGTGGAAATCCGAACCGACGTACACCTGTGGACAACCTACAGTTAAAAAAAACTGAAATGAAATGAAACGAGATCAAGCCGGGTGGGCCTGAACCCTCTTTCAACCATAAATTTGCTTCAGCCTGGTCACCACTCTGTCGTTACCACCCACAAGAGCATCAAGTAATGCCGGACGCTTCAACTTAGAGCCATTTCTATCCACTCTTGTGCAGCCGTTTCAACAGCGATTGCTCACAAAAGTTCAACGTAACCGTAAGCTATTCATCTTCTTTGGGGCTCATTAGACGCACAATGCTCTTAGCTGCAAAACCTTTGTGAGTGGAATAAAACTGCTTACCCCAAAATGTTGCGTTTTATTGTGCTCAAATCAAAAACCATCCCAATCTACGTTTATATTTTTACAGCTCACCAAATTTTATTGTCCGCTGAAGCAATCATACCGCTGGCGGAAAAAGTCTGGTGGAATACTCTTCCAGTATCGCTGATAACCCGGAGGGGGTTCAAAATATGGGACTCGTACTCTGAACTCGATTGCCTGTCTCTCTTAGTTCACTCTCTTTTTAATGCTTCAAGGCCCACCTAAATCCGCGCCCTCGCTGAACTACCGTAACCTTAGGAATGACCGTGGATGCGGTGACCAAATGCATTCGTCACAAAAGGCCGGCTTCCTAGTAAGGTCGATTCTTCTGGCTCGTCCAGGCCCTGTTTAGGGGCTTGCATCCGACCGACAGGCCCATCGAACTGAATTCTTTGACCCCCCTCATGGTTAAGCCGCCCTCAAAGCAACGTGAACAGTGTGGCTGTACAGGGGGTGGTTGTTCTATCACCGACCTCGGTGCACACCGAGACGAAGAGCGCACCGAAATAGGTTGACCCACTGCGGTGTGGCGACAACATCACAGCTCGTTTCACTGTACGGAGCACGTGCTACCCAAGGTCGACAGTGCTAAAATCTACATCTTGGGTCCGTTAGAGGTCATGCTATGGCATGATCTCAGCTATGCCGCACGGCACAAACACCTATACTGGTCTTCGTCGGAACGATTGGTCCTAGGCTTCAAGACCCTCAGTTTGAATAGCGAGATGTGTGGCATGACAAGGCCACTGAATGAATGATAACTAACGATCAGAGCCCTGGAAAGGTGAAATCGATTATGTCCGTACCCTTGACGAACGTCGAGTAGTGAAAAGAACTGGGAATAGGTACAACAACTCCACAATGGTGGCCACCACGGCGATGGGGGGTTATCTGACCCGTATACCCTGTCTGGGAGGTGTTCACTAGGTTCTGGCTATAACAACGTTGTTCTAGACTCTCTGAGGCCTATCTTCCTGTACGTTTACGATCTATGATTTTCAAACTATCCATTATTGATCTGAAAGTCTACAAACGCCCAGTCCGGTGATTTTCTCAGCAGCAACAACGTCGATACGTCATCAGGCCAGGATGCCGAGGAAAATGTATGAATTCTTTTTAGAACATGATGTGCGGTGGAAAGAGAAATCACACAGTTTCAGTGGTAATGTGAGGAGATTTGGTAATTGTACTCGAGATTTCGTTATGTACTTCAATTCCGTCTATGCCTAAACCTACAGCTGTCGCGCCCTTTTTGAGAATCATCAGTAGTTCACATCTCACGAAATTCCAGCAGAAGTTTCGAACTTGCGGGCTTCCGAATGGTGATTGAACACTTTGACCGTTCAGCCACGAGTAGTGTGATCAACTCACACGCAACTCGTTTGGTACATTCCTTGCTCCAAACGTCACGTACTTGGAGAGCACGTTACTTTCCTAAACTGGTGAATTCTAGCAACGAAAACGTGCACAGGATGACCAAATATGGTGCCGCATCACGGTCGCAGATTGTTGTCGCCGCGGAGTTGTTTATTGGAGAGCACCAACTAAACAGTCACAGACTATTAGACAGGAAAGTAAAACTCTCATATGCACCTTGTTATTAAACAACCGAATATCCGTTTTCTTCTTGAACGCGTCTTCGTGAAATTTCCTGGATATTCATTGACTATCACGCAATTGTGAATGAATGCTGCAAAGCAGTTCGACGAATTCTGTAATAAATCCCACCTTCCATTAAATCAAGGCGGCATTACAAGAAAACCACATACTACTCACATACCTCATCAGTAGTACCCACCGTTACACTATTATCATTATCACTGTCCATTAGTCCTTGTGTCTAGTTGCCATGAAGCTTACAAGCCAGTCGGTCTATTTTCGAGGAATGTGTGCGAACCGCTCGCACTGTGAGCTTTTGGTTTACTGACCTGTGATTACTTATCAGGCTTAGTCCCAATAATGGACAGAAGGGAACAAGCTGTCCGAAAACTGCTCCAAGTTACGCAAAGGCCATTTGACAGGGTTGTTGTTCTGTTCAATAGAACTAGCCCGAAACATCAGGACAGGTCTTTAGACTTTTACGAAGCAGGTGAACGGATGAGGATGATAAGCAATATTCACCACTTATTTCGATTAGTTTGCAGAAAAATACAGTGTATAGTTTAGCGCAGATAGCATAGTATAGTACAGTGCAGTATAGTATAGTGTAGTGCAGTATAGTATCGTGTAGTATGGTACAGTATAGCATAGTATAGTATAGCATAGTATAGTATAGTACAGTATAGTATAGTATAGTATAGTATAGTATAGTATAGTATAGTACAGTATAGTACAGTCAGTTATTGATCTACGCCATCGACAACTAGTCGCACACTGCATAAGACAACCTGCGGTCAGCACACAGCTGAAGCAATCGTTCACCATAATCCGTACGCACCGAGTCCAATTCATGTCAACCATCTAGTTGAATCTCAGATGCTCTAAGCCTGGCCACTTGTGTATTCAGATTTTCGCCAACCACAACGATGCCTGAGCTTTTAGCTCGCCGCAACGGGGCATTCAGAGCGTCACAAAACCTGTCCTTGACGGCGTCGGGACTGCAATCACTTGGGCGTAAGGAGACACAATAAGTAAACACTGATAAACTTCCCGCTTGTGAGACTCCTTCACAGACACTGCCATACGAACCGCACAGAGGCGATTAGCAAAAACTAAGGATCCTTCTGTCCGATCTAGGAAGATAGCAGCCTCTGCACATCCTGCCGTAGCAGCCTCTGGATCACCAGAGCTAGTTCCCCGGAAGCAAGTGGAGAGTGANCCGATCTAGAAAGATAGCAGCCTCTGCACATCCTGCCGTAGCAGCCTCTGGATCACCAGAGCTAGTTCCCCGGAAGCAAGTGGAGAGTGATTGGGTGGTTAGCTCAACCACTGTGCTTGAATCTTGAGTTATTGTTTCGAATACTCAGCGCACAAGTGAGTCCAGTGTGAGAGCAAGAGCAGCTAGTTTCAGGGTGCGGACATTGAAGGCGGCCAGATAGACTGGGTGTCGAGGCTTGAAGATTGATTTGTAGATACCTGGGGATATCGGCGCCATGTGAAGCACAAATGCTGCTTGCAAGACCGTCGTAGAACGAGCGCAGTCATCAGTCCTAAGCGCTGGGCCTGCATGGAGAGAGTTATAAATGGGATGGGGAGGGAGAGAGAGAAAAAAAAGTGTGAGCGAGAAAGAAGGGAAGCGTCAGCAGTAGCGTGTTTTCGCATACCCACCCTGCTGTATGAGCAAGTAAGGCCACCCGGCACCACGCGACGGCCGATGGGGCATGAAATTATTTGTAAATGTGAAATTCGTGGTTGTAAATGGGCTGAAATACTGCCGGGGCCCCTACCTAGACGGACAGATGATCAGGATCCTCGACCAGAGCCTTTATCTCAAAAGCCAGACCGTATGGCAGCGGTGTTTGGCGGGAAATGCATTATCATTTTTATAGAACAGGTCACCACACATGTTCTAACCCTCGACCTGGGCGGACAGGAGACTGTGATTGTCAGACCCCTAACCACTGACCGACCTAGTGTAAAAGACTGCGAGTTTCGCGGGGGCGCACAAACCGTCATACTACGATTAGGCCCAGTCTCCTTGTGACGGAACTTGGCGGTGAACCGAGATGAACACCGCCGGCGTAAGAAGAGTAGCGATGCAACGTTTTTTCTTCATTTTTGTAGATCATCAAGATGGATCGGTCAAAAAACCGCCATTTCATTGAAGCAACAGCCGATCCGCAGGCAGAAAATAATTATTCCCGGGAGAAATTTCACCCGATTTCATGCAGGCTAATCAGGTAAGTGATTGATAGGAGAATAGGTGGCAAAAACGGTTCACCATAGAAACCCACTCACATGACTTGTCCGTCGGTCTGGGAAGCGAACATAGTTGTCATGGCAACGGAACACATGATTGTCAGAATAAATCATCTGTTGACCAACCCTCAAACAAGCGATACGGTTTTGCGTCGGATCTAGCATTGCTTTGGGAACGAGTCAGTAATAGCTGACAAAGTGACAGATTATCGCATATGTAACGATCAACGTGGATAGCCTTCATCAGGAAACACAAAGTTCAGAATCAGCAAAGTTTGATGATCAACCTTGAGGTCATGTCCTCTCACAGTTAGTCGAACTGAATAAATGCTTTTACCAATTCTATTGTAGTAATTGCAGTCGTTTCAGAGAGCACGATACAGGTGTGAACAAAGTTGCATGCGCAAGCTATCAGCGAATGAGAAGCTCTTATTGATGAATGTCAAGTGGAGAGCCATCGACTCACACCTTCCCTTCTGGAAAGCTGGGGTTTTACATCTGTTTTGAGGCAAGTCCAGACCAACCCCAAGATGACATTACGATGTGTACGCGGCTGACACAATTTTTGACGAAGATTTCGTAATAATGGCTGGAACTAACTCGTGATGAACCCACGAAAATTAAGGTTTGCTTGTAAAATACGGTTGTATATCGTTGGGTCTTGTGTCCTTGCAAACCGTTTGAAAGGTGAGTGTCTCATACGAGCAAAATGTTCCCTTTTCAGATCGAGTTTTTTTGTTGCAAACGAAGTTAATCTGTGCTGAAAAACTGAGAAGCACTGTACGGTAGTTCCGTTCTTGTTTAGAGTCAACAGTAGTGAGTAGCTTGCAATTAGACAGGCGCCACTGATCAGTCATTCACACTCATCGATTCACATCACGTGGTCAGGCTGTCTGGGTGATCGGTGATGACTTCTCAGATGGAGGGCTAGTGCAACTTGTGAAATATTCTCATTTCTGAGCAGACTACTTGTAGTTCGATGGCTATGTGAGATGTTAGAATTTCATCCATTCTGTGCTGAAGAACTGTGCAACCATATTGAAAATCTCCAATGAAGTGCGTCTCACGAATCTCCAAGGGCATTTGTGCTTCATTCCTTTCGTCCGATTCATTGATGTTTACTATTCTGACTTCTCGATTATCCCACACTAATGTTTTACGTTTGGGAAGTGGGTTCCAGCAGAACATAAGGTTGACGGAAACTCCGGTGCTGCACCTATCTGACGGGCTCCAAGAGGGCCGAAACCGGTTGTGGGCTGTCGAAGAGTCTTCTGCACTCTTAGGAGTGGTGGTTCCTAACTTCGTCGTTCCCCTCAAACCCCAACATGAACCTCGCTGTAACCGCAAGTGAACAGACGAAGCAACTGATTAACACTAAGTAGCCCACATAACATGCTTTTACCATTTTGTCTTGTTCTGTGACATTTCTGTATCACGCGCACATGTATAAAAGTGCTGCGTGCGGTCCAGTTGGATTTCGAACTCCAGTTTAGTCAAGTCAGTAAAAGCCTCATCATTCTGATGAGTCTTCACCAAAGAAAGGAAGTTTGAACTCTTATTAGAGCTCATCAGTGGTGTACACCTTTGGCCGCACCTGGGTCTGTACTCCGAATATATGACATCTACGAGGTAACACGAATCCACCAGCGCACGCTTGATGCACCCCAATTGTCGCGTTTGAACAGTCGAACGTGTTCACGCTTCATGCTTGAGCGATGTGATTGGTTCGTCCGACAGGTGAAAGTTTCAAACGAGAGTGATTTGAATGTGAATTTGACGAATCCCGCAAGCATCCGCAACTAAAAAATATCAGAGGGTTTCGGACTCGAGAAACGCAGCGCACGGCACTCCGCATCGAAAAGGTGTACTGAACGATGACTGAATGACACAGGGGCGCTTAGCCTTTCACCACGAAGTTGTACATTAGCAAGCACAGTTAAAACTATTGGATAGGAAAGTAAAACTCTCATTTTTAAAAAACTTAACAACCTCATGCGTCTTCTTGAACTTCCGTAGATATTTGTTGTCTCCCCCACAATCGTAAACAAACGCCGCAAAGCAGTCCCACCGGTTCCGTGATAAACCCAACCTTCTTTTTGTGGAGATTTCGTCCTGTAAGAAACAACCTCACTTCTTGAACTTCCGTAGATATTTGTTGTCTCCCCCACAATCGTAAACAAACGCCGCAAAGCAGTCCCACCGGTTCCGTGCCGTGACCAACCTTCTTTTTGTGGAGATTTCGTCCT